TGCTTTTCTTCATGTCAGCATTTAAAGCAGTTGCCATCTTCTGATTAATTAAACACAAGATGTTACTTATTCTAAAATCTTAGCAAATAAAACTTAAACAGAAACTGTTGGCTGCACTGTTGTCATTTCGTCTTCGTTTTGAATCATCCAGAACCCCACATGGCTGGCTTGCAGATTATTTTCCAGATGACTGATAGCTATGTGATTTTGTGTTTGTGGATGTGAGTGTGTGAACTGCTTTGAAAGACATGAGCTTGAAGCAGTTGAAATCTCTGGCAACAATTTCTTAAGGAGTATGTCACATATGAGCTATTGACCGCATTTTTGCCAGGTCACTTGTCAAAGGAGTGGTAGGGAGACGTCAACTTCAAGGCAACCACACTCCACATTTATGAAACTACTTAGAAAGCCATGTAAGAGTTCTGAATAGGTACTTTACAACACTGAAGAGACCCTTGTTCTTTATTATTAGCATATCATAGTCTCCAAAGACTATTTTATAAATCCCTTTAAAGAATATGGTCCCCAAATTTTCTCAGGAAATTCCATGTGCCTGGAGTACTTGTTTAAGCACAATTCAAAACTGCGGGAGGTAGAAGTCTGCTGTAGTTTAGTGTAAAGTTAACTTTTTTGAATGCAAAAAAGGTCGAAATTAATGAAGAAACTCGCAAATTCAAAGTTCCATTGAGGAACATCCCGGTGCTTTTAGCAATTCACTTGAATTGCAGGAGGAAAACCGCCCCCTTTAACATTTTAAAGCTTTGAAAGCCTAATGAACCATGCTACCTCCCGTAGTTTCTACCGAGCCAAAATTTGTGCGAGGAGCAGGCTCATTAGCATTAAGTGGAAGCAGACCATTCAGGTCTTGCAATAGCTTCTTGTAATGTTTTCACCATTATCATTGTATTTGGTTGATAAAATATTGCTATCTCAACTGTTACTTTGTTTTTCTTATTGTTGTTGATGTAAAATTCCTGTTATACCAAGAATTAAATGCCCTGCTTCCAAATGACAAATGACTTTTTCTTTTAACAAATATCCAAAATATATTCACTGTATAGCAAGGTAGATTCTTGTGACAAGGTGGTTCTTGGTACGTTCAATCTTTTACTTCACCTTTTACTTTACCTCCCAAACTGTTAGGTAATGACTTGGGGGATAGGAAGAAAATGAGCAATTAGAGTATAGAGACTGTAGAATATTAGATGTAGAGATAATATTGTGTTTTTTTGGTCTGTGTCATTACAATGGAGATTATGTTATCAAACCTCAAAATATTAGCAATTCATTTAATTCAATTGTTCTAAAGATTTTTACATCTCCGCATTTTAGGAAAAGTTTCGTGTTGCGGTGAGAAAAACCATGCGTTATTTAAAGCACACCCTTCCAGATTTCCTGATTCTGATTTTGTGGGAGTCTACCTTTCCTTGCATTTGAACTTGCATTTTACAAGTTGTAGATAAGTGATACTAAGGCAAAAGATTTCTTGACTGTAGACACATGAATAGATTCTGTTGGTTAAAGATTCAACTGGGTGAATTGAGTTACTCTTCCTTTCTCTGTAAGAAGTCAGTTTTGTCTCCATTAGCATATTAATTTCAATATTCTTGATCTATAAATGTATCTGTTTTTTGGATTGTCCTTTTATCTGGTTGTAACATCTTACTCAGTCCCTCATTAATAATTAATGTGTTCATTTTATATGTGTATTGAAAGTTGTGCTTTTCATTTTTTCCCAACTAGAGTGAAGTCCACAGGATTTGCATTATGTTTATATTTTGCCAACAAAATACAAATGTATTCCTTAGGTTGTACACAGTTCAATTTGTAAAATTAGCATCCCCTTTTTGTTCTACTGCCCCAGACCAAACAGATGTGCATGTAATTAGTATTTTGACATAAATTGACTCAAACAACGTCGTTCAAGATTAAAATCAGTATTCTATTTTACATTTAAAAAATGTGTATATATAGTCTAGCCTCTATTTTCCTAAGAATTCTGGGAAATAATCTTAATGGATTATCCAAAATTTGCCATGTCTTTTGCAAAATGTTATATAAAAAAGACACATATGATTATGAAAAGATCCTCCATGGGGTGTGATGGATCTAATGTTAATAAAGGCCTGTGTGTCAAAGGCAATTGCATTCTATGTTCAACACCCAAAAGTTTTCGACGAGATGCAAAGTGTGATTTGCCTTTAAATCATGTGTAATCTGGAAGCATTGGAAAATCAAGAGATGACGTTAAAGAAAAAAAGTATAAAGCTTCTTATTTATAAATATAGATATACATATAGTTGTTTATGAGTTAGTAATATGATCACCTCCTTTTCTTTTCCTAAGAAAATTAATGGAAATAGAAACAAGTTGGGGGTATGTTGCATTGCTTATTTGATTCAAATCTGCCACTTAGTAGAAGTGTAATCTTCAGCAAGTGACATAAGATTTCTGAATCTTGTTTTCATCAACACATGACAATAATAACATTTTAAAGTATTGTGAAAGTCAAAGTAGCAATGTCTGCTAAAGTGCTTTGCCATTGTAAAATGCACGGTAGAGATCATTGTGACCTTTCAGGAGTAATTCTAGCTGCCACTAGTAATTCTAGCTGTCTCTGAGACAGAGCACATTTCTTAGATTGAAGCATTGGGTGAGTTATGCTAACTTTAGGATGACTGTGGGTGGAGATTTCAGGGAAAAAACTAAAGACCTTTTTCCTTTTTCCTCTCCAGGAGGACTGGAAGTATTTATGTGATTCATCTGCCAATTTTATTCCTTCCACTAGAGATGTCAATTCTTAAGTATTTTCAGTGAATTTAGGATTGTAAGAAGCGCATGTGAATGTGACGGCATATACTTCTTGGGAAGTTCAGAAAGAGTACATCGACTCTCTGGTGGTTGGATCAGACTCCATTATCATGAATGAATTATTCTTAGACATTTTTCTCTTAACATTCTTAAATTTCTGCCTAACAGGCTGGTGCAAGTGATTATTTTCCAAATACCTGGATGTTGTTTTGAAGTATCTCTGTTTCGACCTATCATGTCCAGAGACAAAATAGCTCTGTTTCACCCTCTACCATTCAGGGTCTGCGACTTGATGCTTCTGTTTCCATGTGATTAAGTGCATGATAGAAATTATACAGGGAGAAGTGATGAACCAGCAGGAAAATCAGATGTTTATTAACATGTTCTAATGGGGGGGGGAGTTTTAGATATAGTTTTCCCAGAATAGTAATGACACCCATATTTCAAAAAAGCTTATTATTACACCAGGCATGGATTTTTTTCCCCATGGTTTGTTGTTTTGTTTATCTACCACACTGTTCCTTTTTATTTGATCCTTTTTATTTGGATGGATGTGGAGAACAGGGCTTAAATCACTCATCTGGGGTATCCTCTCATTTGCATATTATAGCAGACACAAAGAAAGTCTCTCAACCAAATAATGTTCTGTTTGAAGAACAAGGTGTTTTTAAGAAAATTCTATGTGTATGCTTTGAGGTGGAATATATACTCCCTGTTTTATACCCAGCTGTCTATGAAATTATACTATATGCCCGACTCCTATAGGTATTGGAGTTTGGGGACGCTTGGTGTATAAAACCAACAGGATTTTATCAGCAGTCTCTGTTTCTAACTTTGCTGCATTTCAGCAGGAGAAAGTTCTAAATAATTAATAGTAAAATCTCTCCAGAAAGTTGCTTCTTTAGGCTAGATGTAGTTCAACTTGCGAAACCTTTTGGGAATCAGCAACAGTAAGAAAGGCTATATCATGGAGTCTTTTGAAATTGTAGCATCTGTTGTTTTCACCCTGTATTGCTTTGGAGTGCCTGAAAGATGTGACTTTCAGGTCACATGAATGTGCATGTACTTTCAGGTACATGAATGCTGCATTCATGGTACCATGAATGCAGCAGAAAATAAAGAAGGGGATAGCAGAAGTATGGTTAAACTATTATTTCTTCCTTTTTTCTCTTAAACGAATAGAGTTTTAAATGAGTCAAATACATATTTTAATTGATAAACTGACTTTATATTCACCTATTGGAAACAGTACAACATATTTTACATCAGATTATGAAATATGGATGTTTTACTAAAAGACAGGAAGGACTTTTTCCAGTCTTTAAAGTAAATACATATTCAAAGGATCTTAAGGCATACCATTTATTCATATTCATATCTATTGAAATACTGTACATCCACATACTTCAATAAATAGTTAAAAACCTGACCTCTTTTTAAATCATTCTGAATTTCAAAAAACAATTTCTGTTGAAAAGATTAAATAGGTAACTTTTGGCTGTCACAAAGCTAAGTACAATGGATAAATTAACAATTAGTAAATTTGATCAATATAGATGATTGGCTTTGATAAATTTCTCAGAGTTTTCTGAGTTCACACATTGGGGTATATATATACATATATATATGTATATATGTGTATATATGTGTGTGTATATATATATATATATATATATATATATATAGTTTTTTCTTTGTCCTGAATTACCTGGGTAATTTTCTCAGTTCTCCAGTCTACTTTCTAGATATAGTTTAAATGTTATGATGAAGCATTAATTTTTCAGTTAAGTTTTAAACACCCCCAAAAGTGGTTTTTAAGTTTGACATTCTTGAATCTTTTAGTGTTTCCAAGAAAAACACAATCCTATAATTTGGGCAGTACTTTTCATTATATAATTGCTGCATAATAGAAACTTCATGGTGTCACAGGACTTCTGTTTCGAGTGGGATCATTGTAGAACATAATTACACCACTTGCAGTTAAACCAAGAATGCAAATGAATTAATTCAACTACCTGAATATTCTTCTTCCCTCTCTCCTTTCCTTCCTTTATTTCCTCTTTCCTTTCTTCCTTCCTTCCTTCCTCCTTTTTTTCTTCCCTCTTTCTTTACCTCCACTCCTTTCTCTTCACTCTCTTTCCTCAACTGCTCTTTATTTTTCTTTCTGTGAAAATAAAATAACTTTAGGGGCAAAAAAAGAGTCCCACAAATGGAACTTGTGGAAATATAACGCTGAAATGAATAGCTAGAAAAATTGTTATAGATCAAAAGATAAATCAATTTCATAAAACCGCTATTCTGAAATTGCAACAATCTTGTACAGTCAGGACTGATAAAATGGAGTAATCAGACATTTCATATGTCTATAAATGTAAAATCATCTACTTGAACATTATATGCAATACATTCACACAAAAAAGCAAATACTGTAGCCTTATTTGAACAATATTGAACTCATAAATACTCATGGTTTCACTCTGTTCAGGGGCCTAAAGACTAGGAATGCTGCTGTGATACAGAAAAACATAGTGAATACCTCCTCTATTTAAAATGTCACTCAAAAATTCTCTTCTAACATAAAGGCAAATACATATAGCTACTGAGCTATGACTGTACTTCTGTCACATTCTATGGGAAAAACACCAGACTCCACAAATTCGGAATCATGACAACACTTTGAACTAATTATTTGGTTCATCCATAGTTTATACCTCGATTTACCTCACATTTACCCTACAAACCTTACACAGAGGAGGTATTTTTAACTCTAGGAAAGCGGTCACTGTATAAATGCATTCTTGATCTGTTTCCTTCTCCCAAACAATGGTACCGATGGTTAACACTTTTGTGGTAGCACCACTATTTCTAGTAAGTAGATTATTATGGAGTGTGCCACTTTAAAGCTGCAATACAAAAAAAAATTTGTAGTTTACTCACCAGTTTCACAAAGAATATTCTTAAAAAGCAAATAAATAAGAATCAAGATGAAAATGCCATGTGCGTTATAAAAGTTTTTAAAACATCAGTCAAAATAATGTAATGAATAATTACAGTGAGTAAATTTAATAGCATTATGCCATATTATTGCCATTTTGTGGAAACACTGTATATTTATGCCTCCTTATGTAGGATTCATTTTTCTAATTAAAATAGATTTATGGTGTACTTCGGGGCTAAGCTTTACTCAAAAAAAAATCATGATTTTCAAGCCATTTCTTTTGGGGCAAAATATTAGACATCTTAAGTATGTACAACCTCATGTAATATCTCATATTTAACTATTAGTGAGGTTTGTTTTTTAAAAATTGTTAATATTACTTGCAAAAGGAAGCTATCTGCAGAAATCCCCCTACATACTGAAATTGGTAACTTCATTAAACTTGTAAAATGGCTTTCAAGGTTATGGTCTTTCTTTAGTAAAGAGTAAAACCATAGAAATACTCTTATAATACTTCTTAAAATAACACTATTTTCATTCAAGAATGTAGTTTTCATTCTTTATGCTAGAAACAGTGAACTACTCATGATAACTTAATAACTAACATATCTTAAGATATTCTAATCACTGGTGTCTTGTCTTCATTTGGTCATGTCTTACACCTATCATGTAAGAAGACATAAAGCACGGTCATTTTGTCATTGTTTGTTTTTTGGCCTTATGTTTTTGAACTGACATGGCTACAGAGAAATATTTTATTGCAGAGTTGTTTTTTCAGGGATTGATCTGCTGCATGTCAGCATGGAGTATTTGTTATTACATATTTTGGAACATTTTCTTTTGTATAACATGCATTCCAGGCTATCAGCTGAGTGATGTTTTCAGGTGGAAGATGTGCGAGACGCCCCTGTGTGTGGGAGCACTGCATCTATCATACCAACTTACGTGCCACAGAACCAAATGACTTTGGCATGTTTACCAACTCATGTAATGTTAGGTGATCGGACTTTGTGTTCTTTCTGATAACCATCTTAAAGATTTTGGCTTGGAACAGTGAAAGGAAAAGATGCTGTATTGCTGAGGAATCCCTTGGATGGACTTCGCTGTCATTTTTAAAGGGAATTATTTCCCAGAGTGGATTCAACATTCGACTACAACCAAAGGAATCGCATGGTAATAAACTGACCTGTACTACATTAATGAAATTGTTTTTCACCACAAAACTGAGCTTAGGTGGGGCAAAATCCTCATACCCCACTGGTAAGAAGGGAAGAGGTTTTTATAGTCTCACGGCTCCTTCATCCTTTGAGATAGGATATAGTTTAGCTTTATCACCATGGTTTATTTTTGCTTTCAAATTATAGGATGTGGCAAAACATTTTTATTAGGTGGAGACGAAGAGCAAATTATTATTGTGTGAAGGCACACCCATGCTGAACTTACAGGGAAGAGAAGCAGAGCTGTGCAGCCAGTTATATTACAAGGCTCATTCCTGAAACCTGAATATCATGCGAGCAGAAAAATCTAGATATGTGTTAGTTATATTTTGAAGAAATGATCTGAAGGCAATATTATTTGCTTTTTTATCAAAAAAGGAAAATAAATGCATCTTCGTAAATGTGGATTGACTCCTATTGAAACAGGGAAATGAATGCTTGTATTGCAGCCTTAAAGAATCACATAGTCACTGCAATATTCGTTTTTGTAAACTACAGCCTGCAACCTAGCAGACCATGACTGAATGCTTTTGAAAAGTTGTAGATTACAAACATGAAATCACAATTAATATCCTCTAAAAGTAATTTCAGAGCTTTCACGTCTTAAAAAAAGGACAATGTGTACTGCTTCACAAGGTAATGTAGCTAATCAAAAAAAGAGTAGAATTAAAGTATTTACATAATGAGCAATTCTACAGAAGGCGATCATCCCCATGTAAGCACTGCTGATTATATCCCACGCTGCTTTTAACAAACTGTACCAGATTGGATCCAGCCATCAGCACTTTCAGAGAATCCTTAAAAGCCTTTTATGGGTCTTTAAATTTATTGTAGAATGGCATTCTTCAGGTAGAATATGCTGGTGAAAGAGGACAGTGTCAACACAAGGTACCAGCAGGAGAAAAGAACGTCAGCGCTCCCGGTAATTCCATACTGGGCTGTACTTGGAGCTGGAAAGAAATGGAAAAGATTAAATCAAAATCTAATTTGTGTCTTTTAGGATCTTAACAATAATCAAAAGGCAGCTGGGTGTACTGGGGAGAGCACTGGCATTGGAGTCAGACAGGCTTAAGCTCACATCTGGTTCTGCTATATGACAATGTGTGGCCTATGCTACTAACCTCTCTGAGCTTCAGTTTTCTCAAGGACAAGAGACAAATGATATAATCCACCTGGCAGGGCTGCAGTGACAATTGGAGATGAAGAACATACAGCGCATTGCACTGGGCTGGACATAGGCTAAATAGTTAATAAACAGTGGCTAACATTATTATTCCTTTTTTTTGAACTGTAAATATTTGTATTAGTGGATAATATATAGTTCATGCATATATTCTTTAACATTTATTCTTATTGAGATCTATAATTGGCAATATACCATTGTGTAAGTTTCAGATGAACAAATGTGTTGATTTGACACACACTTATGAGTTGCAATATGATCACCATCACAGCATCAGCTAACAACTCTATCACATCACATAATTATCGTTTCTCTTTTGTGATGGAAACAATTAAAATCTAGTCTCTTAGCAACTTTGAAGATTATGATACAATATTGTTGTCTATAATCACTATGCTATGCATTAGTTCTCTAGGAGTCTATTTGCCTACTACTTCTAAGTCTGTACCCTTAGACAACATATCCCTGATTTCCCTCCCCCAACCCCTGATCACCATTCTGCTGTTTTCACAAGTTCAGCTCGTTTAGATTTCACATATAAATGATTATATATATATATATATATATTTATTGGTCAAATATTGTACTAAATGCTGGAAGACATTTTTGGGGGGGTAGATAAAAAAGAGATATTTGAACACTCATAATATGTTACAAGGAATATTAGATTTGCATGTATTTGCTGGAGCGACACAGAAACTTTTGTAATCTGCCCAGGCAAGGGAGGGATGATTTAACAGAGACTTTTACCAAAGGGGACAGTCATTTGGGTAGAAGAAACAATTTATTCAAAGGTATGAGGAAAAGAGAGGGTATGACATATATTCTAGTAGATTAGTCTTGCTGGACCATGAAGTTTGAGGCTTGGAGGAGAGGGAACTGAAACTGGAACTCCAGGCAGATAGAACATGACCTTAACTGTAAGGAAAAAGAATTTAGTTTTTTTTTTTTTAAGTTTATTTATTTATTTTGAGGGAGAGAGAGAAAGAGAGCATGTACAAACGGGGAAGGGGCAGAGAGAAAGAGAGAAAGGAGACACAGAATCCTAAGCAGGTGCCGCACCATCAGCAAAGAGCCTGATGCCGGGCTCAAACTCATGAACTGTAAGATCATGACCTGAGCCAAGATCAAGAACTGGACACTTAACCAACTACGCCACGCAGGCGCTAATTTTTTTTTAATAGTGAAGGAAATTTTAAAGAATTTGGAGCTGTTGAATCGTGTGGTTACTTTTATACATTGGAAAGATCACAGTTTCATACTCAGAGAAGCTTATGTGGTACTTGGCTAACAGTCATGTTGAATTCTCACTGAGAGATTTCACCTAGAGAGTCACCAAAGCTTGGAATATGGTGGGAGTCTACTGAGTGAGTTCCACTGCATTTCACAAGAGGACTGCTGCCTCTTTGAATGTGAATTACACCGTGTTGCAGAAATGGAATGTTGTAGGCATGCGCAGCTTTGCTTGAGACCGATCCTCATTTATCATAATAAAAATAATAGTAATAATAAAAAATCCTACCAACATACTTTTAACTACCCACTCTTAATGAAACCCGGATTTCAAGCAATGTTTCCTAGTAGAAAATGAATCATATAATACAAAAAAACATACTATTTCATCCCTCAAACCATAACTCAAATCCAGAAGCAGTTTTAGTCACACTGAGTTTGAATTACTAGCAGGTCATTTTTAATAGAACTTTCACCAATGGCTATATTACAAGAAGAATAAATTGCATTGTTTGTACCTCCAAGAAATTAAAAGGGGATGAGAGATATATTGACCTTTGCAGGGAGAAGTTTTCTTGACAGAGCAATTGTTGTTCCAGGTGCATAAAGTTCAAGGGCTGAGACTACTCCTCTTTAGTAAACACGGAGCAGAATCCACTATTTAATGCTTCTATTTGCATCACAAGTGAGTTTTAAAAAAAATGGGAAGATGATGAAGAAAATAAGTCTATTTTTGAGCACACAGCTTCCAAAGTTTTCATATATAAGGAATCTAATTTAATGTTTTTTTATTTTTTATTTTTTTTAATTTCTGAAAGAGAGAGACAGTGTGAGCAGGAGAGCGTCAGAGGGAGTCACAGAATCCGAAGCAGGCTCCAGGCCCAGAGCTAGCTGTCAGCACAGAGCTGGACTCAGGGCTGGACGTGGGGCCCAAACCTACAAACCGTGAGATCACGACCTGAGCTGAAGTCAGGCGCTTAACTGACTGAGCCACACAGACTCCCTAAGGAGTCTAATTTAAAACCATAAAACTTCCTAAATTATTTTCTCTTGTTCAAGATCTAGAAAGGTGTTTTGTTTTTTAAAACATAAATAAATATTTAATTGCTCTGTTACCTTCTCAATGACAGCTATTTAAGAGTTATTTTGCTGTTGTTTTAAAAGAATCTTGAGCGGTTTTATTGTATAATAGTAAAGGGCTAATAATAAGCAAAGCATAGAAAATGATTTCATAAATAAGAAATAGATCTTAAAAGCCAAGCATACAAAGCAAAGATAAAATTTTTATTGTCATTACACATTAAATAGTACAGCAAGGAGGTAAAGTAGAAAGAATCCTGAAAACTCCTTATCCACCTTTTGAAGTGCATTTTCGGGGCAATTTTTCCTGAACCCCCTCTCTTCCAGCACGCTGAGTAGATTACCTTATGGTGTCATCATGTCACTAGAATATTCCTTTTTATACAACTATCATACTGCATTGCCAATATTCATATACGTTATCTATTTTTCTCACCAGACTGTGAACTCTCCTAGGTCATATTTTATTTATCTTTTTGTTTCCATGTACAGAGAGTGGCAAAGTCTGGTGCATAGTAGATGCACAAGAAATGTCTGTTGAATTGATTCAATTAAATAAATGAATGGACCAGAGTTAAAAGGAGTATTTCTCTCCTACAAAACAGAATCTCTTCTCTCTTTTTTTAATGTTTTATCTATTTCTGAGAGAGAGAGAGAGAGACAGAGAGACAGCAATAGCAGGGGAGGGTCAGAGAGATAGAGAGAGAGATACAGAATCTGAAACAGGCTCCAGGCTCTGAGCTGGGAGTCAGCACAGAGCCTGATGCAGGGCTCAAACCCACGACCTGTGAGATCGTGACCTGAGCCAAAGTCGGACGCTTAAGCGACTAAGCCACCCAGGTGCCCAAATGGAATCTCTTCTGAAGAAAGCCACTTACTTGCTTACAGGCCAGAGAATCTACAATATATTGTCTTTCATTCATTCAGCCAATATTTTTAAATTAGGTACCGGGCACTGGGAATACAAAAGCTAATAGGTTAGGATGGCCCTTTTGTTGCTTAATTCCATATACCCCCTATCATTTCCCCCAGGGTGCCTTTATCTTCTACTCACCCTCCTACTGCCTTAGACATGACAAAAGAATGCCAATAATATATTTAAAATTAAATATTACTTTTTAATTGACAGAGTATGTATTTTCCCATCGTACTCTTTAGTTGTCTTATTTATTAGTCCTTCTCTTAGTGCTAAAATAAAGGAGGAGCCTTTTACTGCATCATTAGCCTGCAATTATCATAGGAAATGGACTGTAGACTAGCTATTGATAATTAGTAAGCCAAAAAACAAAGAGCAAAGTTAGTCAAAGGAATTTTTGATTAGATACCTAATGCTAGGTCATGTACCATAATTCATATCCCTTAAGTATATATTGAGCATCTTTCATGTGCTAGGATTGAACACAGGCAAAGACAAAATTCAATCTCCTCTTTTAGGAAAAGTTTTATTTATTTTTTTGTATTAAAAAAATTTTTTTAAATATTTTATTTATTTCTAGGAAAGAGAGAGAGAGAGACAGCGTGAGCAGGGGAGGGTCAGAGAGAGAGGGAGACACAGACTCTGAAATAAGCTCCAGGCTCTAAGCTGGCAGTCAGCACAGAGCCCGATGCGGGTCTCGAACCCACGAACCGCGAGATCATGACCTAAGCGAAAGTCGGATGCTTAACCGACTAAGCCACCCAGGCGCCCCGGAAAAGTTTTATTATAGTTGGAGGCATAAATAAAAGGCACATATAGAACTTTAGGATATATATACTTATAAGGATGATACAAACATCAAAGGCTCCCTAAGGAGTCACGGCAGGTAAGTAGTCCAGAGAGCAGATTTGTATCTATATTTGTATACAGTATTTTTTTTTTTTTTTTACAAAATGCAATGATATGCACATGTTAGTATATCTCACTTTTTAAAATGGTGGCATATAGTCCTTTAACTTGGGGTATCCTATTATTATATAACCTTAGTCCCATTAGCTATTTATTATGTATTTTGTGTGTGTGTGACTTGTTAGCTGAGTGATTCAGAGTACCAGACTAATGGTACTAAAGTTAAGAGTCTTGGTACTATTTGGGCTACTTAGATTTGTTTGGTATGTTAAATCTCAATCATCTATTTGAGAAATTATAGAAAATGTTAATAAATTAAAGAAAATAAATTCACTATTAGAAATTAGCTTAAAGAGTCAGTTCAAATATCATATGCTTTAAAAAGAGGAAAGTTTGGGGTGCCTGGGTGACTCAGTCTGTTAAGTGTCTGACTTTGGCTTAGGTCATGATCTCATGACTCATGAGTTCAAGCCCCATGTCAGGCTCCGTGCTGACAGCTAGCTCAGAGTTTGGAGCCTGCTTCGGATTCTGTGTCTCCCCCTCTCTCTGCCCCTCTCCTGCTCATGTTCTCTCTCTCTCTCAAAAATAAATAAACATTAAAAAAATAAAAATAATAAAAATAAAAAGAG